GGAAATGCTTGAGCAACTGCCTGCCCCGTGGGTGGAAATGCTTGAGCTATCGGCTGCCCTGTGGGCGAACACGCTTGAGCAACAGGGGATGGAGCAGTCTGTGAATTTGGTGGCAAGGCATAAGGAGGAACATATCTCTGTTGCTGTGAGCTCAGTTCCACAGAAGATGTTGGCCGCGAACCGCTGCCGTGGCCCTGCAAGAAGCCACAAATTTGAGACCCAACTTGCCCCATGGCATCCAGAAACGGAGCCTTGGACCCTTGGGCTTGAGCCAACTTGTATCAAAGGGTCTGCACCTGTAGCACGAACACCAAGAGCTCTGCGTGCCTCCGTTGAAGCTTTTGAATCTCATCTATGAGTCGATGACATTTGCCGGGGATGCAGCCTAGTTTGATGAACTCACATTTCAAAGGCCTCTCGGACAAGGAGCGCCACGAGCTGGTCCTTGCTCGCCACTTTCATTAAGTGACCTCGATAATTGGCGGCTGCATGACCAAAGGCAACAGGTATAAGTCACAAAAGAGCCAACTTGCAAAGCAGGTCCGGTGGAAGGCTAGGAGGGGGGTGGATCAAAATAAGGCCCTTTACTGCAATAGATCTGGTTTGGGCTGGCAGTGATCTTCCCAGCACAAACTGTTCGCAGGTCTTCTATTTTGAGCCACACCCGCGTCTATGATCACCCAAGCTTTCCCGTGGTAGGGCACGGGCCACTGATGAACACGGCCCAGCTTTTCTTAGGCGGTGCTTCTAGAGGGAGGGTCTGAATTTGAGCCTCCGAAGGGATCGCTTGTTCAGGATCAACAGGGAATATCACCGAGTGCGCCTCCTCACCGACATCAAGCAACCATAACTCGGGACATGGCATTTGCACCTGCCACAATGGGAACATGAATGCACAACTCACCACATCAATTCACAAAGTATAGATAAGTATACAAATTTCTTTAATTATAGACTAGAGCTGACCACTCGACAAGGCGTCCAGAAAACAACATCCACTGCGGACCCTGCGCTGTTCGTTCATCCCAAACTTGCTACCTATCATTCTCATTCACTACTCCTCTGCTGATCCCTTCGGCCAAATGACCTCCAAGAGCTCGCAAGCTCTCCGCATGGCTGCCCTTCCCGCACTCGGTGGCTTATGAGCTATGCTCTGCAAGCGCAGTGACAGGGGTGTCAACAAAACAGCCTGGCAATGAGGATAGGCTTCAACTCACAATCGATGAACCATGATAACTATGCTTGGTTGCTGAGAACAGGTCTCGCATGTGCAAACCATCAACAACATGATCCCATTTGTATATCAAGTCGATATTAAGTCGTTCAGTGCAACACAGCTTCTCCCAAACGTGCCAGCCAGCACAGTGGCAGTCTGCAGCGTGATGCGTGCCTCAAACAGCTCCAAAATGCAAAGTCAGAACAAACACATCATGTGCTTCCCAAGCAGCAATCGATCATGTTGCCAACTGATGCAAAGCAAACTCGTGGACCAGCACGCAACATCACTGAATTATATATAATTATATATTGACCATAACAATAACAAGTCCAGGACCTATTCTCCTACCTTTTGTTGCACCAATCCCCGCCCGTATTGATGACATGGACGTCGCTGCTCAGGGCCCCAAACAGGGACAGCCAAAGTGTTCAAGCCGCGCAGGACTTGCCCTCCGACCACCTGCAACAAAGCCGGCAACATGTGCTCTGCTAGGCACTGCCACTAGATTCCACTGAAGCCTTAGCCCACGCTGCCAGGCTTTCTGGACTCAGCGGTTCCTGACCAATCACACCGGCCACCGGCATCATTTTCCAACACTGCTATCAACCCCTCCGTCCTTCACCAATTGTGTTGTAGCAGTAGCTAGCTCATCCTTTGCCCCAACCACGTGCCCTTTGGCGGTCTCCTCGGCATGCATACAATATAATTTAGTAGTATTTCTGAAGTCATGCCTTTCTTGGAGCCCTAAGTTGACGTGACTCAGCACACACTGAACGCTGATCACATCTGATCACGCTGAGGCCAGGGGACAATATGTGTAGCTGGAGCGAAGCTCGGGCTTTCAAACCAGTGCCAAGCCTCGGATGAAAGTAGGAGACTGGCAGGGTGTTCTATGTAGCCTTGCAGCTTCACATAGCTTTGAGATTCGTGCCGCCAAGGCCACTAACAAAGAACTTAAGCATAGGCGCTTGGCCATGGCAGTTTCAAGATTGGTGAACAGTGCTTGGTGTTTCTAGGCTGCTAGACCAATTGGCTACCAGGTACAAACAACGAGTTCCTGACTACTTCCGTGGCCACTTGGCAAAACGTAATCAAAGTATTTGGCCGTGTACCCCCCTCTAGCGTGGACATGTGAGCTTCAAGTGCTGCGGAGGAACCACAACACGATTCTCTGCAGGTTCAGCTGCTCACAGGTAAAGCAGCAAGGCAAAAACATGCAAAAACGTATTCGTATCAAGGCCGGCTAGCTGCCGGAAGGTGACCAACATATACCAACATTCTTCTAGAAGCCATCTGTGCTGCTCAACGCTCCAGAAAGGGCCAGGATCAATTACTGCCCAAGCATCGTTCGCAAAATACTCCCTGCGTTCTTTCCCCAAAAAATTGCGGCACGAAATCATTCCACGGCACATTTGTGCGCGGAAAGAGCCATCATAGAACTAAGCATCCATGTAAGTGGTGGCAGCATGTTTGACACGACAGGAGAATGCCTTTCCAGTGAGAAGTCCGTGTAACAATGTTTGTTGGAAGGTGCAGAATTAAAGGGGGCCGTCTCCTGAAACAATGCAAGTGCGTTTGCACGGCACCTGTCTTTCATGCGAATTACTGAGCATCTAAACTGCTTGATGTGCCTTGGTGCCAAGCTGGCCGACCCCTAGGGCAATGACTCATGACCTCTTTCTTCAGTCCTGACAGAATTGAACATATCAAACCAAGAAATTGCGGCTACTGCTTGGGCCGAGCACATTGCAGGGACTTGCAAGCGCTTCTTATAATTTGATGATGGCATGATTCATTGGGATTTCAACTTTTCAACTCAGCAGCTATCACCAGTGTGGGCAAACGACACCGAACACATTCCAACGGTCTGATCGCCCGCCTTCACCGTACCCGTCAGGATGAACTCTTCCTGCCGCAGCTTGTCACATGCGAAACAAACCGAGCCTGGTTGCTCAGCCAATTGCGGAAACCAGCCCCTCCAGAGATAAAATGTGAAATTCTATTGCTAAGAAAGTGTGCGTGTGTGTACTAGGAACCTCCCCTAGGGCCTATATATTCAATTGAGGCCATTCATAAAAACAAACAATATATCCATTATTCAGCATCAGAAGCGATCAAAAGGAGGAACCAATTGGAATTGCAGTTTGAACTCTTTGGGCAGCTTCCCTGCACCGATGAGAAGCAAGCCGAGGTCATCCCAACATGTGCGGCCCAACCCGCTCCAGCTTCTTGCGAATGGCTTCTAAGCGCTCAGTTGACCAAGACATACGCCTGTTCTTGTCCTGGCTTGGCCATCTCCAGTCCCAATGCTAGGCTGGATTCGGATAGGCGTTGCAGGAATTGTAAAATAGAAAAACCGGATTAAATCGGTGTATCATTCAACTCACTTGACACAAACACACACACACTTAGATCAGGGCTCACAAGAGCTAAGTCAATTATGATCTCCCAGTGACGCTAGCCCTTTTTGCTTACTGCACATTAGACCCTGGCTGGTGAACCGCAAGGTGAAGGAGTCCGCTTCAACAGTATTGTTTTAGCATGGGTGAGACGGAGGAAACTCATTAGCCCATTATGGTGTGTTAAAAGTGCCGGTGCACAAGAAGGTGTCCCTTCTCGCTTCACCAGTTGTGAGTCCGTCTTCGTTGGTCCAGGGCCAACTCACAACTGCCTAGACCCCCTGCTGCTGTACTGGGTTGCAAGCATTGAGTTATGAAATCCTCAGTGTGTCCGAATCCTTGGAGACAATTGTTGACACACACAAAAGGCGGTCTTTCGGGGAAGGTGGGGGGGAAGCAGGGGTGCGGGGGTCGCGCGTGCGTTGACTCAACGAGCCTGAAAAAGGCAAGGAAGGAAAGGTGCAGGGGTGCGGGAGGGCTTGGGTGCGCATTGATTGAAACGAGCCGAAAAGCAAACCTAACAAGCCTGAAGGAAAGACCAAACAAAAGAGAAAGGCAAGGAAAGGGGGGTGGGGTGGGGTGGCTGGCTCAGGCCCGAAGGAATTTGGTCAGAAAGCCGGAATCGGCGCACCCTTGACTAAAAGTTTGCCTGAAAGCTAAAAAAACTTCTAACAACGAACGAAAACCTGAAGAAGAGGAAAGAAACCTGGAAAGAAGGAAAGCAAGACCGTGCGTGAAATACTATGTGAAACGTACGAGTGAATACTTAGCGCTTGACTAAAAATTAACCTTAGACCTAAAAGCATCTACAAACGAAGGAAAACTCAGAAAACGAAGAGCAACAGCGGGAGATAAAGAACCAAGAAAGTGACTCCTTAGCGGAATGTCCCAAAGCCTATGAATACCTAGCAACGTGGCACGGATTTTCTGTGAAAGAAATCTCAGTGAGCCCTGCGGCATAAGTTCAGCATTTTAGATAATCACCGTTGAGCCAGTAGAGTTCGAGCACGACGAAAAGCCAATGAAGGATCCCCCTTTATGGGTATGCGCAAGGAAGTGCCCCTCGATGGGGATCACACCACAGACCTCAGTGGGACCCTGTGGCGAGACACAGTTCGATCAGGGCTCGCAAGAGCTAAATCAGTTACAATCTCCCAGTGAAGCTAGCCCTTTACGGTTACTGCAGGTTGGACCTGGGACGGAGGAAACTCATTAGCCCTTTATGGTGTGTTAAAAGTGCAGCAGGTGCACAAGAAGGCGTCCCTTCTCGCTTCACCAGTTGTGAGCCCGTCTTCGTTGGTCCAGGGCCAACTCACAACTGCCTGGACCCCCCACTGCACAAGGAGTTGCAAGAATTGAATTATGAAATCCTCAGTGTGTCCGAATCCTTGGAGACAGACAGGTGTTGACACACTTGTCACAGGGTTTGCAGTTATCGTTTTCCAAAGCGATATGGATAATGGTGGCAGACTCCGCGATCAACAGAATGATTGAACAGTGGCGGTTTCCCTTGACTGCGAGAGCGCTCAGCGGTAACGCGGCGGCAAATCAGCGATGGAAAACGGTTTTGGGATCTATCATGATAGGGTGATGTCACAGTGCAGGTACACACAGTTGATCAGACTGTGCGTCCACCGGTCCACCGAACAAGCATAGCTGCATAGCTTTGTTAGCCAGCGTTTGCTTGTCGGCCGCTGGCCCCCTGCATTCTTGAATTCGCGCGCGCAAAAGAGAACCCTTTGGAACAAGGGGAGACGCACACAGACAGCCGCTTTTCCGGCGCGTGCGATTAAGAGTCGTGACTGTTGCATCCAGCAAAACGGCTGCTTGTTAGGTTTTGTCAGCATTGTTCTTTATTGCCCCATCGAACCGGAGTAACAGCGGTCAGACTGACATGTTCCCGAATCGAAGGACGGGCGGTCAATGAAAGGCCCAGGTACCCCTGCACGCAGTTGAAAATCATAGTGCTGGGAGGATGCTGTGGTGGTCGGTGGGGAGGTTGTGTAAGCGCAAAGCGGCTCGGCAGCACGGCGGCGCAGCGGAGGTAAACGGCAAATGATGGTGTCAAAACACCTGAATAGCCACCTAAAAAGCCTTAGAAAAAGAAGAAAGAAAGACAGAAAGAGCAAAATGAAAAGGGCAAGAGAGAAAGATAGGTGTAGTGCCGCGCAACATCTGTCGAGCAAAAGTGCTGAATGAACTGCAAATTAAGGGGTCAGACGCCTGTACCCCCTGCATTCTTGAATTCGCGCGCGATCAGTATTGTTCTTTGTTGCCCCATCGAACCGGAGTAACAGCCGCGGCGGCAGCTGCGGTGGAGGGGTAGGTGTACATGTGGATGGTGTGGATACGGAAGCGAGGCCCGAAAGGGCCAGGCGTGCAGGTCTGCCGCACGAGCGGCAAATTACGGATCAGAACCTGAGTAGGTACCTAAAAAGCCTTAAAACAGAAAGAGCCAAACGAAAAGGGCAAGAGAGAAAGATAGGTGTAGCGAAATTAGTGACTACTTAGCAATTGACTACTTAGCCCTTGACTAAAAAAACACAGGGGCAGGGAAACGAGCCTCAAGAACCACCTAACAAGCCTGAAAGAACACCTAGAAAACGAAGAATGCGCAAGAGAGAAAAGGGGGGAGAGGAAGGGGGTGTATGTCCATGTGTTTGTGTACATGTGTATGCTTACCGTAAGCCCGGCGGCATAGAATCCGTAGCTCGGCAGCTTTGCGATCAGAAGATTCACGGGTGAGACACGAGCCAGTAACCCGACCCACGGGTGCAAGTCAGCTAAATCGATATGTGACTCACAATGACTTCAGCGCTTCTCTTGCGTGAGGATCACACTGTGTACCCACTGGGGGGGGCACAGCGACACACAGGGCTTGCAGTTATCATACTCCGCAGGCAGAGTCCGCGGTCAACAGAATGTTTGAACAGTGGCGGTTTCCCTTGACTGCGAGAGCGCTCAGCTGTAACGCGGCGGCAAATCAGCGATGGAGACAGGTTTTGGGATCTATCATGAAAGCACCCATGGAATCAAAAAACAGCGAGAAGAGTAGGGTGATGTCACAGCGCAGGTACACACAGTTCATCAGACTGTGCATCCACCGAACAAGCATAGCTTTGTTCGCCAGCGTTTGCTTGTCGGCCGCTGGCCCCCTGCATTCTAGAATTCGCGCATGCAAAAGAGAACCCTTTGGAACAGGGGAGGCACACACACAAACACTTGCGCAATTTTGCGCCTTGGCCTTTTTCTTTTTGCCTTCTCCAGTCATGGTCTCCCTCAATGCCTCCACCTTTGGAAATCACATTCCAGTGAGGCGAGGTCAAAGTCGTATTGTGCTGGGTAGGTTCTGGTGGTCCTCTGAGGTCAGCGCACAACCTTGCAAATCCTTCCGTGCTCGGGCGGAGTCATGGAGTGCCTGCAAAGATGCATGGAACATGCCAAGCAGCGGAGGAATCGTGTGTTTTTTTTGCGCTATGAAAAGGATCCTTGACTAAAAGTCCCAGCTTGTCTTCATAATCAAACGGGCATTGGCAACAAACAGTGCCTGAGACCCTCGGATTTGAGCCAAGAGTTCTGATGGATGTGCACACGTGTATACAACTACAGTATACTGTACTACAGTCTACAGTGGTCATCAGTCTGGATTCCTGAACGTCCCCGTGCCTGCTGGATACGCTTTCCTCGATTCTCCACGTCCTCCACCATCTCTCGTCTATAGCGGTAGAGGCCCTCCCGATCTATATCTGTTTGCACATGGCGCACCTGACAGGATTGAAGTCCAGAAGGTCTATTGCCGACAAATGTCATCAAATGTTTATGTCCCGTCAATTTCAATCAAATCATATCCAAAAAGAAGATGAGTTGTTGGACTATCATCTAAAAAAATGGTAAACATTTGCACCCGGTTTTTGATTCACTTCAGCCTTCTCGCAAAGCACTTGAAGCAAGGATTGATGATAGAAACGATAGTGAAGCTTCATTGAACTCAAAAAACGATGGGCCGACAGAGTTCGTGTCAACCTTCGGCTCCCGAGATTCCCGGGGGTTCGCTTCAGCCCACTTTTCGACTTATGAACCTGCAGCGTCCGCAGCTTCAAAACGCATGCATGGCCGTCGCAGTATGAGGTCTGGGTAGCTGGCACCCTGCTGAATCATCAGCCGTAAACGGTCTCTGTCCAAGCTCAGCTCCATCTCAAGGTCTCTGATAGATTTCCTGGCAGTCCTTGGATAGTCCCGCCGTTTCCATTTCGATATGCATGCGGAACTGCAGGATACTGCAGGAGGGAACATGACACAATGACACTTAGCTGACTTGCTCAGGTTGTATCTCCACCAAATTCTCATGAATACGCCTTCCAAGCATCGCTGCATCACTTGGTCGCCATGAGCGATTTGGGGCTGAACTGAAGACTTGATCCTTACACGAAGCAGTGGGTCCCTTTGCAGCGAAGGACACACTGCTGAATCGTACGACGCTCATACGAATCCAGCGCGAAACAAGTCACTGTCTTCCGGCACCATCTTCCTGGGCATTGTTCTTTCAGGCTCTTTCAAACACTTAAACTTATTACTAAATTCACATGTTTTGACTTACAAAGCTTGACCAGAACAAGCACAAATAACGTCTGGAGGGCTAGTGTCTCCACAGCTGCATTGTGTCCATTGCTGTGTCCGGAAGGGCTTGGGTCATAGCCACCACATGAGTTGCCTGATGCGCCCGGCTCTGCGCACACGTGGTGCATCCAGCAAACAACACATTGCACTTGAGGCCAAGGCCCATCCATTTTTTGCAAGGGGAACAATTATGAACAAAACACAAGACCCTGCCTAAAAAGAGAAACCTGACAGAAACCACAAACCCAAATGCAAAACACTAACATGTCAGGCGCCGGAACAACCGAATCCGGGGAAACTCGTGGTGACAGAAATAGTAGTACGGCAAAAGTCCTGGAAAGCACACCACTCTTGCGCGACACTCACGGGGGCACTCTTCAGAAACACTTTGATGTGACATGGTGCGACACTTTGGAGGACGCTCGTGCACAACATTCTTGCAGGACACCCTTGTGGCACACGGCTGCAGAAACAACATGTGTAGGACGCTCTGATGCGGCCTATGAGACACTTTTCCAGGACACAGTCGAGTTGCACTCTCGTAGGAGACTTTAGCTTGAAGCTCTTGTGCAACACTCTTCTGGGACACTCTTCCCTAGCGGCCCTAGCGTGACTCTGGTGAGACACTCTTACGTGACGCTCTCACACCACATTTTGGAGTTCATCCAAAGCTGAGCACACCCTCAGTCCGAGTTTTTACACATGACACAGGCATTCAATTGGCAGGATCGAAGGGCCATCATCTGCAAATCCCAACGGCACGCTACAGGCGCACACCACCCGGGAAACCCAATGCCAATTGTGCCACGACGCAAACTGCAAACCTCATAAAACGCTGCACCCCGCGCACCATCAAAACTCATGATTCAATGGCGGTCAAACCAATCAGACACCTGGTCCATCCATCCAAAACCGAACCACCTCCAAATCCTTCCCTTGATGGGGACGCCACAAAGGTCTGAATGCTCGTTTGTGGACGGTTGCTGCGAACGTTGAGGCGATGTTGAGCGAGCACAGCATCAAGCCCCAACCTCCAGAGACAAGCGAGAATCCTTTGCTAGGCCTGTGGGGAAAAGCAATATTTCATCGATTACATTTATATACATATATATTTATATATTTCTTAATTATTACTGTAGTTACAGGAAAACGACCTAGAAGCGCCACCTAGTCGCACCTTGTTTTCCTTGAGCCAAAGTCGTACGAGTGAGACGTAAATGTCATTATACTAGCGTGAAACTACACCCCCCGCTGAACGAAAATGGGGAGGAGTGAAGACTATGTACAGTGAATTGGGACCTACGAAGGCAGCCGGTCCCCCGGTACGTGCGATTCGGACGAGACCGGTTCCTGCCTTTGAGATGTAGAGGATAATTGACCTCAAGGGCAGAGAAATCACTGACAGGTTCATGCTAGTGTTCACTCGTACTGCAAAGCTATACATGTATTGAGTCATCTCATGAAGAAACAGCACGATCTTTTGACGCATCAAGCGGTAAGTGCACGATTGGCCTTTGAGAAAGCAGAAGCATCACCGGTCGGCACACGCTCCCGCGTGGCGAATCAGCACTACAAAAGTATGTGCGTCTCTTGGACTTGCAATGTTACAGGTACTTCGACCTTCAACATACGAATTATACCTTGCTGGTGCTAAAGCGAAGTTCGGCATCCGGTTCCCGGGTGCATCACAGAAGCGATCATCAACGGCAACCGCTCCCGCGGTGCGATGGAGGAAGAACAACCTCACATTTGAGAGCCATGCTGCCTATTGGATGTTTCCTTTTTGTCTGGTTTTCGATTTTGAATCCAAAGGCAACGACTCCCGTCGTGCGGATGTTTCTACCAGTTGCGAGGGCTCCACCAATCACGGTTCCAGCGATCATCACGCTGCCATTGGCTTGAGCGATCTTGCCACCACCCTTGGCTCCAGTCCCGGTCGCGATTCCACGATGAAGACGCGGATGACCATTGAGTCTGGCGCCAATCTTCATGAGCACGTGCTTGATCCTGTGAAGCCCTCGCAAGGGCTTTGGCTGATGCGGAGTCTGCTTTCGCTCGAGGAACTATCATGGTCCTGGTCTCTTTGCCAAGTTGCAAGTCGACATTCGGAATGAAGGCTATGTCCTCAGCGATAAAGTCGAGCAGAAGCTGAAGAAGCTCATCTGGATCCTTCTCATCGGTCTTCCACTCAGAGTGGAATCCCAATATCGGTGGACGCTTTGTGTTCTGGGCATAGCTTGCTGCAAAGACCTCAGGTCGGTAGAGTCTGTTTTTCCAATACACCAGGAAATCTTTGCTCATGTCTGCCTCTCCCACCTTCTCAGGATCGTTGATGTAGATCAGCTTTCCAGCATAGCGATGGCCGACCCCCTGCATGATCATCTGATGTGTTCTTGGGGGGTCCGGAATGACCGCATTTGGTAATTTCTCCAAGAAGCTGATGCAGAGCGGTGAAAGATCTTGAGCTGCGCAGTTGAAGGCGTACAGAGGATCTGTCAATTGTCTCTGCGAAATGGTCATGCCCATCTTGTCTGCTTTGTTCACATGGCTCCGAGCATTGGTCTTCAGGATGTTGATGCCTGATCGATTTGCTCTAGGATCGTGGCCATGCGTCCCCGCAGGCGTGTTGCGAATGCCGGTTCCTTGTAGCCGATCTTCCTGGACCATATCGAGTGAGAGTTCGACGCCCATCTCAGAGGCGATCTCTTCCATTCGAGTGACCTGGGCGGCCTTGCAAAGATCCGATGCGGTGTTCAAGAAAGTACCGCACTTGCCGCAACTCATCGTGCCGAAAGTGAAATGGAGTTCACAAGTAGGGCAGTGCCCTTCAGGCATTTGAATTCCTTCCACTACAAGCCATTGCGTCTTGCCATAACCCTCTTTCGTTGGATCACAGGCTCTGAAGTCGAATCTGGGCCGGTTGTAGTTCGGCAGCATCTCCGTGGGGCTAATGCTATTGCGATTCGCCCGGAAATTTGGCCGCCGGGTCTCGACATACAAGTAGCACGTATTCGACATGTCATACACAAACATGACATAGCGGCAGGAGATCCAGTCAGGGCAAAGAATTGTGCCGGCCGTCGTTTCCACGAGGCGATGTCCATGTACTGCCATCATATGCAAATCGAGAGCTATGCACACTGGCCGAGTGGATGCCATTGCTGCATAGTCTGTCGTGCTGATGCTCCATGGGTCCTCTTTTGTCAGAAACGAATACATGTCACCGGTACGGTTGCCACCTGGAATCAAACCCATGTTGATGATATCCTGGATCGATGCATGGTGCGTATAGTGGTAGAGGATCGTCGGCTGAATGTCCTCGACACGTCCATGGGCATTGACTGGCATACGAGGGAATTTGCCGCTGTTGTATTCGGCCACGCCATACTCCGGATCCAGCACGATGAAGCGCTCGTGCTCTGACAGCGCTTCTTCCACGTTCTGGTAAGACCAGTCGTTGTGATGCTGAATGGCTTTGAGTCGCATTGGCGTGTACGGCCTCTTTCCCCCGACCAAAGTCCCCTTTGGCGCCACCTTGATCTCCATCATGAAACGATGGTTGCTCGTAAGGACAACCAGCATGTCATCGATGGTCAGCGACTGTCTGTACTTCTTCTTGATGTACATGTGTAGACATGGCTGAACTCCATCCAAAGTCCCTTCTGTAAAGCCGGCGGTGGGACACGGTTCCGTTTGTTCGTGTGCTCCCACCCTCGCAGCAGACCAGAGATTCGGCGTGATAGCCATACTTGGTCGGAGCTGAGGTGGTCCAGTCTGGAGGCTCCGGGCACTTCCCTGGACTGTAGTGCCACCACCTGGTTCTCTGATAGAGGTGATGTGGCACCTTTCGGCATAGGTGGAGCCTTCGGCGGAGCCTTGGGCATCGCCTTTGCCTTGACTGCAGGTTTCTCCGTGGCAGGAGTGGTTGAATCGGCCACGGCTCCCGCCGGGCGTTCTGTTGGCTTTGGCTGAGGCTTCGGTGCCGGTTTCTCAACAGCAGCGGCCTCGGCTCCCGCCGGGCGTACGTCCGACGATGATGATGCAGTCTCTTCTGAGGACTTCTTGGATGCTTTGGGCTTGGGCTCCTGCGGTTGTTCTTCACCAGTTCGTTTGGCTGGTGGCACCTCAGCAGTGCGAATCTTGGTTCCCTTCTTGTCTTTCACACCTGATTCAGCTCCCCCCTGAAATTCAGT